CACAATGAAAGATGACAACACAAAGAGCCTTTCAGCGAAAACCTTTGTGTGTCAAATATTTCCATTTCAAAGCCTCCATTTTACAGGATGTCATGTCAATTTATTTTTACATAATGTCAGCTGTGTCGTTCAAAGGCAATTAGGAGAATGTAGAAAGGGTGAAAAGATCTGTCACTGCTTCTGGTGGATAAGGGGGCACATTGGCACACAATGTATTTGTTAGAGAGCATTTTTCTGTATGGGTGTGTGCGTTACTGTGTACTTGCATGTTATGTGTTTTCTTCCATGTAGCTGGCAAAAACATCTTCCTCTGTCACATTAATATTGTCCCTTCAAGCCCTCCAGCCAACCCTGTCAGATGTGATGTCCCTGGGTGGCATTTACTGGTTCAAAAGTTCAGCAGTGGGCAGCATGGTGGCGCAGTGGTTAGCGCTGTTGCCTCACAGTGAGAAGCTTCTGTATGGGACCTTTCTGTATGGAGTTTGCATGTTCTCCCTGTGCTTGCGTGAGTTCTCTCCGGGTACTCTGGCTTCCTCCCACAGTCCAAAGACATGCAGCTTAGGTTGATTGGTGTCTCTAAGTTGCCCATAGGAGTGTGTGTGTGTGTGTGGTTGTTCGTCTATGTGTTAGCCCTGCGATGGATTGTCCGACCTGTCCAGGGTGTACCCCGCCTTCGCCCAATTGCCGGCTGGGATTGTTTCCGCCCCCTTTTTCTTTTTTTACTGTTGATATTTTTCACTTAAAGGTGCAATGTGGGAGGATTTACAGTATTAACAGAAACAGGCTTAATATGGCATAAATATGTCTTCATTAATGTGTAATCACCTGAAAATAAGGATTGTTGCTCATTGCACTGAATAAGACAGTCAATAAGTTGACAGGCAAATGGATGCAATCATGACCCTCTCAATAGACATTTCTAGTTGGTTCAACATTCATAATGTGCAGAATGCATCTATACTCCCTCTCTGTTGCATTCAAGCTACATAGCAAACACAAAAACAGCTTAAAATCACATTAAGAATGATCCTCTGAAGACAGGTGCAGAGACGCAGTGTTGCTATTTTTGTATCAAAGCCAACAAATGCCAAGTAAAAAATATCTCAAATGACTCACTTTGACATTTAATTTTATTTAATATTGTAGGTAAATGCAAACAGCTTGCTATTATGCAACCAAAAAGATGAACAAGAAGTCAGATATCATTTTAATGAGGAGGGAAATAAAGATATGAATGCAAATGTTTCAGACTCTGGAACTAAATAGCATTATAACATGTTCTTTTGAGCATTATGATAAATACTAAATATAAATGTAAGATTGATTTTTTTTCTATCATGACAAATTAGGAAAAAGGTATTTGATTGAGTGTCATTAGAAGCGCCATCTTCTATTAGTCTGCAAAATGTTTCATCAGAGGAACTGTCAAGTTGAAAAGTCAGCATCATTTGACATTAAAGAATAGTTTAATTGTTCATTCTAGTGAAACCAAAGTATGTTATTTTAACTTGAAAAGGATCACCAGCAGGCATAGCAACCAAGCCACAAAACATGATTGAACACACATACAAATTGCCAGCCTGAAAAGCGGTTTTGAGTGCTGTTAGAAGTATAGTGACACACTCTGGTGTACACTTTCTACACCACTGCAGCAAGATGAGAGGTTGAACCACTGCAGGCCTGCAAAGCATGATTTTTAGGGTCAGTTAAAGGCCCCAAAAGCTTCAAATTATATTTTTCTGTACTATAAAATATATTAAATAAGCAAAAATCAAAAGAAAACTGAGCTCTGTTTTCCAGACTGTATTGGTGTCATATTGTTTCAAACTACCACCAACAGTCATCAGAGTCCGATTCCAGCATAGCTCAGTCCCTATTGGTGCACACAAATATATGGTCATGTTTATCCACCTGGACTCCACTCACTTCAATGAGAGCACAGAGACAAATCTCTACACTGAAAAAAGGACTCACCGGGTCTTTGGATTTACACAAATTATGCTAGTATATGCAATACAGTTCATTCATATTCCCTCTGTTAACATAATTCAAACAAGTTAACCCCTAAAGAAAATTATGTTGGTTTTACACATTATCATTGTGTGGGGCCGATGTACACATTACAATCAAGTAAATCCACAGTGGCTTGCACCTGTTTATCCCTCCCCATCCATTTCTGTGCCAGTAGATAAGTGGAGCACTGCTCTTCTCAACTCCCTGGAGATTGTACTAGTGCCCAGGCCTGATTTTGTTTTACTGGAAAGTGAGCCAGAAACGGATTGTCTCACACACACATACAAATGCAGAAATACAGTCTCACACACACAACATACTCACATGTGTTAGCTGGGTGTCTCGTTAAACCATTCGGGCACAGTGGACATTGAGTGAGCATGCCTGCTGTGCTCTGGCCCTTATCACTCTGAGTAGAGGAGAGGAAGGCAGACACCATAAGTACTGATGAACAATATGGTACACATCAGTTAGTGATATATTTTTATAAAATCAGATATTTAGATTTATCATGAGAGTACCACTCCACAAAAAAAAAATTGTTTTGCGTATTCACACTTCAATTAGAGGGGATCATTAACTCCTGACCTTTGAAATAGAAACTTTACAAAAGAAAAAGACTCTTCACTCAAGATCCAGCTAGGTTTTTCTTTAATCCATGATGACATCTCCAGAACAACTTAGCCAACTCCTCCCACTGATGAAGACATGGCTGAAAGTTATAGAAACAGATAATAGGTGGGGCCTTGAGTTAAGGTCCTATTGTCATACAATGTGTATAAAGATGGACACTGCGTCACCACTTTCCTCTACTATGCAAAAGTGAAGCCAAACTATGGCATTTTGAAACCAGATTCTGTGCAGCAGTAACCAAGTAGCTGAGCAATGTATCAGGCCCCTAGTCAAAGCTGTCATATCACCAGAAAAGTACCCCTTTTTATTTCATCAAATAACTTATTAAAAAAAAACCAAAACAACCACTTGTACACACATCAATGTGATAATATTGACCAAAAATGACAAAAAACCATATCTGTGAAAAATTAAAATTTATATGTACTTTTTTGTTTGTTTGTTTTCCAGGCCAATTAAATTGGCAATGAGGAAATGAGGATACCTGTCTTTAAAAGCTACAATTATGGTTTATCTTTTGGAATGCAAGTCTTCTAAAGCACAAGAATGGTTTAACTATAACAATTAGTTTGACCATCTCTGTGTTTAAATTTCTTCAGACATCTGTGAACATTAGTTTCCAGTGCCCACAGTGTCACCTTTGTTAGTTCTTATCACCCTGCATGGGTCCAATTTTGCAAACGCACACCTGCAAAGCTTCATATCGGACCTAATCCATTACCTACAGTTTCTCTAACAAAAATCCAGACACAACACAACCCAACCCATATTTGTAATTAAAATAGAATCATATTGCATTGTATCATACCATATAAGTAAAGAGATTTACTATTACTATTTACATGTGAAAAATGACTTTAAAAATGAAGAACAAGATGCCGATGTTTAGTAAACTACTGTGGAGGTAGTGGTACCATTGCCCTCCATAGATTAGTCTACAGCCCTGAAGCACCCTATGAGCACTGAATGTCCTCATAGTGAAGAGGAAACCAGACTTATAACCCTTTGATTTGGGAGGTGTTTTACTCTTGCTGTTCCTTTGCTTTGTTATTTTATTCTCTTTGTATATGTTATCCCTTCATGAGTCAAATAGAGACATGAATATATGCCTGCACACAAAAGAAGAAGAAGAAGCTTTGTTTGTAACATTGTGACACGTACAGCAAATTTTGTTTGGAGCCAAGGGGCCCTGGGCCGCTGCGTGCATATGCGCCGCCATCACAAAACCAACACAAATACCATCTCATTCTGTCTCCTCAGGTGGGGCCTCTCACTCCTACAAGACAGGAGCCCAATGTGCCGTACCAGCAATGAAGCTGTCATGCTGTTTTATCCAGACACATTCTTCCTCCCCAAATGCTGTCTGCCTGCACAGCTGCTGTCATCCAACACTAAAACTTCCCTACTTCCCTGGAGCACAGCGTTATATCACCTTTCTTCTGTCACCCCCCACCCACCCTTGTTTTCATCAGCTCTAAGCTAATAGCCACTGACACCACAGATTTTTTTTTTGTCGATTTGACCGGCAGGCTGAATCAACAAGACAGGAGCATCACAAACTCACTAAAAAGAGGATGACTGGAATCAGCCAAGATTAACCTAGCCTTCCTCAATGTACAAAACTTATGCAGGTCAGATAAACTATTATAAGAAACATCTACAATCTTACTGCACATTTTGACAATCCCCTGCAGTGTGTTCTGGCTTATAAAGGTTAGTGGTTGGAATCGACAAACAAGAGAAAACATAAGAATATATACTATAAAACAAAAATAAAATACTTTCATAAGTGTTATCACCATTAAAACTACAGAGATTGTGATAAAAATACATTAACTGGAGGTCCTTCTTACATATTTGATCCACCTGTGGTTTGAAAGTCAGTGTGTTGATTTGCATGTGAATGTGAACAAAGATGGTGTGCAAATATGTACAGCAAGCAATTTCATTTTGGTCACTTCTATGGGTCTGCACAGTTTTTATAGCTACTGGCAACGTGAGTTCAATGTCCAACTCAATGTCCTCCTCCCTCTCACTTACCCTCCACCCCACTCTATACTCTCCCTCGCTCTCATGGCTCAGATTTGACAGCGGACTGCAGCACGTCCTGCAAACACATTGCAATTAACATTATACGCTTCAGTGCCTCCCAAACCACTCGCTGATGAGGTTCAATCAATTCGCTTTAATTATAACTTTTTCAGAAACACCGCTAATCTCTTCAGAAGTTTGATCTCCCAGGGGCTTGTTCAGTAACAAGCTGTGGGCAGGTAGCTGCATGTGTGTGTAAAGTGTGCCTGTATCTAACTTGATTCTAACCTCTCTATTGTACTCTCTCCCCATTTTCTCTCCAGACATTGATGACTGCCAGTCTAATCCATGCCAGAATGGGGGAACCTGCATAGATGAGATCAACTCCTTTGTCTGTCTTTGTCTGCCCAGCTACGGTGGAGCTACTTGTGAGAAAGGTAACAATCTGCATAAAAACACTGCTTTCTCATTTTGCTCACTAGCTCACTTTATTCAGGAGTGTGTGGAAAGAGGAGATGGAGAATTAAGGCAAGTGAAGGAATAAGCAAAAATTTGGAAAAAGAATGGGTGGAAAGAGCAGGATGAAGATGGTAAAAGGGATCGGAAAGGAGTATCAGGAGGTGGCACATGAGAGTAAGATGGTGCTAAAATAGCAGGATACTGAGGCAGAGGTGGAGACAAAGCAAGCAGATGGAGGATTAGGGGGTTAATGAGGATGTAGTGGAAAGAGATGGTGGAAAAGTAGATGAATGTAGACAAAGAAGTGGAGGAGAAAGAGGGATGCTCTGTGGAATAATGTATCTTTTTAGCACAGAACACCTGCGTCCAGCTGGTTTTGTCTCTCATTACTGGAATTCCCCTGAGAGAAAGGGGTCGTGAACACATCACCAATGTGTCATTGTAAAAACATTAGAGCTGATTATTGATCTTTTTTTTTTTTTTACCCATTTTATCTGTAAAAATCCCATGTAACAGAAATTGATCAGTTTAAATTGATTTTCAATTGGATTTAATGTAATCACCCAGATTTTTGTATTATTTAGTGTCTCAAAATCTGATATAATAAAAAAAATTAAGAACTGATAATGTATGAAAAATGTTAATGGGAAGATAAAATGACTCATTTATATAATAATAGGGTAGACCAGGAGGTTTGAAATGGGGCACAGAGGGAGAGACGTAAGCCATGAGCCCCAAAATGCAAGATTACAAGTCTGTACTCCATCCGGGAGTCATAACTCACCCATACCTGAACACACAGATGTGATACAATGTGGCCCCACTTCATAAGGATATCAACATTTTCGGTGTCCGTTGCTAATAATCTGTAAATTTCCTTTAAAATTACAGAGACACTCCTTACAAGTCCAGATCATGCCTGAGAAGAATTAAATCTAAGTAACCCAATGAGAGTTGTCTCTGCATTTATGGATACAGTGCAGACACAACATGTGAGTGTATGCCAGTTTATTTTATGCTAATCCTACCTAAAGCTCACTCTCCCTGATTGTCAGTCAATGAAACTATAGCGATAACGCATGCAAAAACTCTCCTCCTCTCAAAATAACCGAAGTGTAGAGGGACTGGGCCCATTTATAAGCATGGTGAGAGTTTGATAACCCAGTCCTGTATTCAAAACCGGGATCGAAACATCTTGCCATAATACTTCTGATTTCAAAGGTCGATACTGTGTCAAGCCCTCTGCTTTGAACATAACATCACTACTATTTGTACTCTTGTAAGTTGTGATTTTTCCCCTACTTTGTCTTCCGGACTCTGTATTTTGATAATTATTAGTATGGTTCCCTGGTTTTTGTGTTTATTGCTCCCTGACATATTTATGTGTTTTTCTTTACTTGTCTGTAGTGCGGTGTCAGGTTGAGCATCTGCTTTTACAGTTTTCCTTAATTGCTTAAACACATTTGTTGAAACCACCACTCATTTTCTCAAAACCTTAAACACAAATCCAAATACTCAAACTAAATTCACGAAACCTCTGACTATTCTGGTAAAATCAAACAATTGCTTTGCTTTTATTTCACCAGCACTCAAAATCAAACAATGCTTTCAGATCACACACACATGAGTCAATCATATGCAGCTCATTCATTAGACACTACATCAAAAAATGGAGAACACAGCATCCAGGGCATGTAGTTACAAAAGAACATTTATTGTATATAGTAAAAAAATACACAAAACAAAAGAAATCACACCTAAAAGTATGGTGAACTTGCCAGAAACCATGTTACGATCAAAAAAAAAAGAAGAAGAAAAAAAAACATCAGAAAGATTATTCTGCCTCAGGATCACATCTTTGAGCTGGGCCCGGCCAGACGGCTTCATCTACATCGCAGGCAATGTTGTCCCTTGCCAGGCAATGGGCAAAAAAAAAAACCCTCTGGTGTGGCGGATCCAACCTTGACAACACTGCACGTCTATGTCACCACAGGCCAGTTTCATTGCCTGTAAGACACTTTCCCTGGTACATGGGTTTTGGTCATAGACTGCTGTGCAGAGAAAAACCTTTCTATTGGGTTGAGGAAAAGGCTATATGGTGGAAGGAACACATTTAAAATTTGCTGGTTGTTGTTGAAGCACTCGTGTTTTCGGGCACCACGGTGAAAGCTGACATCCCAGACCACGACATAGACTGGTTGGACTTACTGCTGATGATCATGTTGCTCTCACTCAAACAAAACCATCCATTTCTTAGACCATCCAGAAATGTGAGAAGATGTTCAGTATTGTATGGCCCCAAGGTTGCATGTGCATAGAGAACCCCATGATTGCTTATGGCTGCACAAAGGCTTGACATTGCCACCACGCTGACCAGGGACTTCCATTATTGCACGTTAGCCAATTACGTTTCTCCCTCTCCTTCTTCTCTTCATATGATTTAGTCCGGCTTCAGCTACAAAAATCCATTCATGGGCCTTTCCATGGAATCCAATTCCAACACTCTGTAAATGAAAATAGTCATTTACCATGGTACCGTAAATGATACTGAAAGACTTTTACAAGTGTCTTTGTATGCATTCCTGATTTACATACACAATAACATAGCGCACTTTACAGTAACTGTAGGCTAGAAGCTCAGAAGTGTACTGTAAGCATCAGCACTGAAAATGTCTCAGCATTTACAGAACTTACTTGCACATACTGATGTCGTAGATCTTTGACTGTTTCAGAGTTGCGTTCAAAGGGTACTCTGTATACTTGCTTCATGCATATGCGGTTACGTTGGAGGCCAGGGTTATACTGTTGATTCCTTCAAAATTTACATTATCTTCAATAACTGCTGAATTTCACAGAGTTGGATGTCAATGAGAACCTCTTGCTCTTCCTATATATATATATATATAAAAATTACCTGTTCTCTTCTCTGTATGTCCTGATTATGGTGGCCACAGAGAATGTGCTCAAGTTAGGTTGAACTCTTTGTCCTGCCTGCCTCATTGTCATTCCATGCACGAGAACATGGTCTATCACAGTAGCTCTAATTTCATCTGAAATTATTGTTTTTGGTCTTACTCTTCCTCGTCCTTGTCCTCTTCATCTACCGCCTCATATACGCACTCTTCCTCTTCCTCTCATATTGTTATCCATATTTGAGGAATACACCCGTGCCATCTGTACACTTTGAACTGGCTTATATTTTGTACCTGCCCATCACATAATTAGAAACAAGTGTGAACAAATTTGAACCACTGTGTGTAAATGATGACAACTGTGCTTTAGTTGCATTTAAGTTTTGCTGTCCTGTGTTTAGTGTTTTGCAACACAAGTTCATAACAGTGTGAATTGTGTTTTAGTTCGAGTTTAGCAAAAAGAGTGCATACGATTTGCAAACAGTGTCTAACTGCCTGATCTTGTTTAAGGTTTTGCAGAAAGAGTGATTTATTTGACAAATTTGTTTAGGCTACTGAGAATTTGGCTCAGAGAATGGGGTTTATTGTCTAAGTAACTGTGAAAAACTGTAATCCTAGTCTCTAGTCCGGGTCTGCATATTTGGGTCCTTCCCTGCCCGAAACCTAACAACCAGGATACTCAGTATAGATAAAGGATGGATCATTGTCATTTTAATTGTCTTTTTTGTCACAATTAAAGTGGCATTACCTCTATTTTACATGTGTTAACAGTTTAATGGGGAGAACTTCCCAACCAGTGAGAACAGTACCTTTCTTGGTTCTGGTGGAGCTTTGTCAAACTGGAAATGTTGATGTCATCTTAGTTGTGAAGACATTTAAAAAGAAAGCCTGAGTTACAAACTGACATGGTGGAATTAGATGAGGGCATTCCCCATCCAGGGGAGGTGTAACACAAAATGTTTTTTGTTGCATTGTAGGATCCAATGATTTTGAAACATTTTTCAGAATATTCTGACCTCTGCTTCTATGGTTGTGATTATTCTTGATGGTCTTTTTGATCATTCATCACACTAAATGTTACTTAAGTACATGTTGTGCTGTGCCTCTTGGTTGGGTAGCATTCATGCCCCTCCTGGAGTGCAGGTCACAAAAAAAGCAAACAGAGAAAAAAAGTTCTTTAAAGCAAGAGAGGTTATAAAAGGGTTTGATGTAGAAATGCTTGATCTCACCAATTTGAGCCTGACAAAAATTCAGACCCTATAAATTGTTTTTCCCCTCTCCCCTCTTCCTCAAACACACACATATGCATCACCACAGTGTGCCTCTTGTTTGACTTGTACTGGACCTGTGCATATGTTTTCTTTCCTGCTGCGTTGCTGCCTTCATGCTTGATTGAGAGCAGCATGTCTGATTGTATAAATCTAAAGTCTGTTTTTCCTTTTGTTTTTATCTCTCACCGCTCTGTGCTCACAGAAATATAGGATTCAGCTGTGAAAAGTACAATTCGCAACAGGCATCACTCTGCCATTTTAGCTTGATCTCTATTTGATATCCAGGGGGAGGTCTAAATGGTAATGGTGGAAATGAACTTGTTCGTTCCACCAAGGCTCCCATCCATTTAAATGTCATCAAATTGGTCCCTGTCTCAAAGTGATCTGGTTCTCTCCGTCTCATTTGCTGTGTGTGTCTCTGCATATTCAGGTGTATGCGGTGTGAGCTATCAGCCTCGGATGCTGGGTAGATCCGGTCCGCTGCTGGCTCCCTCTGGCCTGTTACCATGGTGATCCCATCTGAGAGTCAATAATAGTGAGTTGACGGTGCTGAAGTCCTCCAGTGAATGTAATGATAGAGAGGAGGAAACGCCTTGTTGTTCTGCAATTTTTACAATTATATTTTCATAGGTTTTTGTTGTCATTGCTATTGAGGTTAGAATAATGCATCTTTTTGTCTGTGATACACTTAAAATTGAGTATAATCCCAATTTTCTGTCAAATATTGTAGCAGTATTTCTTTTTTAATAATCAGTGTAGTTATAGTTGTGAAAAACAGAATCCATT